ACAAATTTAGACTCAATAGTAGAAAAAATTATCATTTTAATAGACAAATTTCATAAAAAAACGAAGTCAAATGGACACCAAATTTTCAACATTTTTCATGAAAAATTATACAAATCAAACACAATTAATTACAATTCTCAATAAAACATTTTCTAAGAAAATCAATTCCCTGTAAAATATTTTCTTTCCATTCATTTTCCACATTTACAATCAAACGGATCCTTACACAAGGATGATGGGAAGGTCATCTCCTCCCATTTCCTCTATATTATTTTTATATATATAAAACAATGAAAAGGTCAGAAATCGGGGAAGGAGAGGAGGGTTTCCAAAATTGTGTGAATGTTCACAGTAGTGTTGATTTTCATTTCTCTGCCTTCCAATTCCGATTGAGCCCCCTCTCTTTTGCTCTGTATTCATATATCCACAAACTAGTAATTGGTAGAGAAATAGAGGTATATCCATTTAATTGTTGAAGAAAATCTTAAGAAGAATTAAGGGAAATGGATTTGGATAATTGGATAGCGAAAGTTAAAGAGGGTCAGCACTTGTCTGAAGATGAGCTTCAACTCCTCTGCGAATATGTACGCCTTTCTTCTTCTTACTCCTTTTTTGCATTTTTTTTTTGTTTCTTACTCTGTATGTAAATACATTCAAGAAATCAAGAATTTGATTCGGCTTTTTTGGCAGTTAGATTTTTGTATTCTGGGCATTTGTTTTGTGGGTTTTACAAGAGAGAGCTTGAGGTTTGAATATTTTTGGGAGTATTTGTGAAGCTGCACTCGTGTGAGCTCTTTAAGGATCAGGTGTAATTACAGACACATTGTAGTATGTTTAATTCTTCTATTTTTAAAATTTAATACATTCATTAGTTTGATTATGTAACTAATGATATAATATCAGCGCATTCTTTTATTAGTGTTCTGAATTGTAGTGGCTGAGGACAAAGAAATTAGTAATTGCACTGGGGTTTCCAGAATACATAATGATGCCGGACAAATAGAGAATTAGGATTGTAGGAAGAAAATAGCAGTAGAAGAGAGGGAGAAGAAACCGTGAAGAAACAAGAGGTGGAGGAAGAAGAAGAAGGGAGAAGAAAACGTGGTTGCAAGCCAAACTCAATTTATCATAATCATCAACTGTTCCAATAACAATGAAAAAACCAATAAACAGCGAAAACCTAACGGGTTTGGGCAACCCACTACTACAAGCCCAATAACAATAATAAATAGAAAACATAAATGATAAGGTCCAATAACGATAAAATAGATCCTGATCGGTCCAATGATATCCGCATCAACTCTCCCGGGGTGGGAAAAAACTCGACCATGTCGAGTGGATAAACTTCGACCACGGGGGACGATCTTTCGTAAGAACCAGATATCGAAACTCAACAAATGATGCCAACTTCAGTTGCAAATTGTCCCCAAGAACATGATCTGCATCAGGTGGAACTACCCAACAAACAAGGAAGCACCAAATTTCTTCATCATTGGTCAACACAATCTGTTCATCTAAAATAACATCGAATGTATGGGAGTAGAAATATCAATATAGACAGGTTGGGGTTCTATATAGCTAAATAGAAAAGGATCATCAAAGGAATTGAAACGGTGTTTGTAAGTAATGAAGTCCTCAATATTTGAAGTAGAGTGGTAGCCAAAATGTGATAAAGATCAATGACAGGTGCATTTGGACCAACATGCTTTACAATTTTAAAAGAACCAGTACTTGATCATCTAACCTTTTATCTATTATATTCTTTTGTTCTTCAGTGACTAAAGTTTGGCTATGACATTTGGAAGAGATGGGGTCAAAGTCTTTACAGTTGAAGCACCGTGAGTGAGAAGTCCTTGGAATTTCAGAAATTGTACCCTTATTTTTTTAACACAGGAGGAACATTTGACGGGGAATGTCTCCTAATAGACTTAAGAGGAAGTGGCGTTGAGGATATTGATGTATAGTTGTCACCACACATTTTATATGGAGTACCAATAATCAACTCAAAATCTCGGGCTAAGCCTGATCAAGAATAGTGACACCCCGAAGGAAAAGTTCACGCCTAAGATCGTCTCTTAGACCTTGTCTAAACCTACTCACAGTCATGGCCTCATCCTCAATGACATGACATTTCATTCGAAATTCCTCAAATTCAACAATATACTCAGTCACTAACCGATTCACTTGTTTAAGGGCATTCCATTGAGTACAAATCTCAAAATCTAAGCAACCATCAAAAGTAGGAGCATCTACTTTATTGTTTTTAAAGAGACGCTCCTTATGACATGGAAGAGAATAAGTATCGTGATTGTCATAACCTCGTTCTTGCTTACGAACCAAATCCCCATCCCGACGGTCATGTCGAAAATACTTTTGATCACCTTGTCGACAACGATACTGTCTATTATAGGACACTTTAAAATTATCAACATTAGTCGAACGATGGATTTGCTTAAAAGTGGACAACCTAGCGGCTAAATCTCTATTCGCTTCATGAGTAGCGGCTATCTCAGTTTGTAATTGTTGTTGGCTAGTGGCAAGTTGTGCTAATTGACGAGTGATGACATCAAGTTGAGATGGGTCTGTGGTCAGGTTATGGGAACTAGATGTGACAAGGCGACCACTACGCAACTGTATGCAATGTACTACCAACTACATGACGTGCAATGAAGAGATCAATGAACAATAAATGTAAGCAACAGAAAATAATAATTTGAGCATTTCTTTTTGAAACTTTGGGATTAAATGAAGCCAAATACGGCAAGCTAATACTGCTGATACATTTAAAATAACAATGCACACGTCCAATACTAATCAAAAATCCGATCACATAAAATAAGGGGTAAAATGGGGATTTAACAAATCAAGGGAGTCTGCCATGTGAACTTTAGATAAAATGATGAGAATTCAACAAGTCAAGGGATTCGGTCACGTGAACTTTAGGTAGACTTAGAATACAATAGCACAAAGAAATTAATTGATGCAATTTTAAAAATAAATAATAATATAAACCAACGATAAATAAACAGTAGCTCCCTTGTTGTTCGTCGAGGTGAGCACCAAGTAATTGATCACCAAAGACAAGAAACAGTGGCTCCCATTCTGTTCGTTGAATTAGCTGAACCAACCAACAGGTCAAAGAGGTACCTACAAAAATATGTTAGAAAATGCTTTTTTTTTTCACTTTCCTCTTTTTTTAACACCTTTTTTTTTTTTGTAACTCAAAGTAAATTACAAGAATAGGACCCAAATCGAGGCCCAAAATAATACCAAATTGACTCCTTTTTTTTAGCTAGAGCAGGTTACGCTGGCCCAAACTGAGGCCCAATAGCTAATCAAATACACTAAAAAATAGGGGCCCCAAATTGAGGCCCAATAACTAATCAAAATACACTAAAAATGGAGCCCACTACAAACTCAATTAAACAGGCCCAAGTGTGAGATATAGATACCCAGTTTGTGGGTTCGGTGGAGTAGATGTGGTGGCCATGGGATGAGAGTTGGCACTGCAGACGATAGAGCGGCGCTGGGTAGTAAGCGGCTGATGGAAGCGGTTCGGGCGGTGTTTGCTGGCGTCGCAGTTAGCCTAAAATTGGAGAAGGCGTAGGCGTCGACGACGGGACTGGATGAATGGGTGCCGACGATTTGGGCGAAGGTGGGATTTGTGGTTGGTTGCGGCTACCTCAATTGTGATTTATGGTTGGTTGTTGCTGCAATTTTCGGGTGATTGTTGGTTGGTTGTGTGGGGTTAGAGATGTGGCGGTGGCGGTTGACTGTGTTTGTTTGGTTGCCGAACGAATAGAGAATTAGGATTGTAGGAAGAAAATAGCAGTAGAAGAGAGGGTTAAGAAACCGTGAAGAAACAAGAGGAAGAAGAAGAGAAAGGGAGAAGAAAACATGGCTGCAAGCCAAACTCAATTTATCATAATCATCAACTGTTCCAATAACAATGAAAAAATCAATAAATAGAGAAAACCTAACGGGTTTGGGCCAACCCACTACTACAAGCTCAATAACAATAATAAATAGAAAACATAAATGATAAGGTCCAATAACGATAAAATAAATCCTGATGGGTCCAATGATGTCCGCATCACATAAACTGCAGAATAAATAGACTAGTATATGCTCCCAAACCATAAGATCCTTTCTTTTAGTATAATTTTTTCAACATAGATTGGTAAGAATCAAATCTCTGCCAAAAAGTGATTGAAACTGGATTCTTGACATCCCATATTGGTATAGCTTTATTTCATTCTGCCTAAAGAAATTTTGTCCGTTGGTAATTTAGTGTTATTCTTGTTCTATGGCGTGTTTCAAGGAAAGAAGTAATCAGCAAATTTCAACAATGAGTCATCTTTTTGCTTGCAATGAAGAGGAAAAGGGACTTCTTTACGTGCTTGTTCTCTTCCTGGTCTACTTGTGTCATTCTGTATCTGTATAATACTCTTATTATTTAGGGATTTTGGCACTTTTTGTCACAAGCCTAAACCTACTACTAAAAAGTTTTTGGGGGACCGAAGGGATATTTTTGTTTTCTTTCCATAATTTTTACTATTTTCTAGTATTTACGTATCTCAGCAATTAGGAACCAAGACTAGAAATTTTTGATGAGCTGGAATTTTTGATTGAGGTCATTTAGGCTATGATTTTGAGCAGTTTATCGCACGTCTCCAGTAAACTCCTTCCATCTTTGTGTTCCGCCGTTTTTGACCTTAGTGATTGCCATTTCCACTATATCGAAGTTACTTAGATGTAAAAATTTGAGAAAATTTGAATTAATTAATTAATTGAAGTGAAGCATATCCTTTGTATCGGTGTGAGAAGATGTACTGATGGTGCTTTCAGGAATGGTGGAGGATTCATCCTCTGTAACAACAGTTGGGTCAGTGATGAGTTTTGTGGTGAGGGTAGAGGCTGGTGGTTTGGGTGGGGGTTGTGGGGGTGGATTTGGTTGGGGAATGGGAGTGATTGGAGAAGAAGACTTATTTGTTTATTTTGAAAACATTTAGGACTCTTGCTGCAATTTTCCTTTTATTTCTTATTGAGTTTCTTTCCTTTTTTGTATTTATTTAAAGAGGGAGCAAATTCGTCATTTTACGTGTCCAAAATGGTGGAAGGATGAGTTTTGCTACATTTATGAAAGGTTGAGGATGTCTGGTGCAAAAAAAAGAAAAAAGGTTTGAGGGTAGATTAGTAACATTTCGGGAAGGTTGACGACGAAAAGTGCCAAAAGCCCTGTTTATTTTTTATTTTAGGCTGCTCCACATTCTGGCATTGCTGTCTTTTTTGTTTGCTTCCTGGTGCTATGCTATCCCTTACGTTCTTCTAATTTTAGTTTGCAACTTTCGTATTAAGGTTAAGGAGATATTGATTGAGGAGTCAAATGTTCAGCCTGTAAATTGTCCTGTTACAGTATGTGGGGACATCCATGGACAGTTTCATGATTTGATGAAACTCTTCCAGACTGGAGGTCATGTACCGGAGACAAATTACATTTTTATGGTAAATCTTGTATAAATATGTTCACCTAACTTCGTTTTTATACTTGTTCCATCTTTGGACTCTTTTATCTACATTGTGAAACTTCTTCTGTCTTGGCAGGGAGATTTTGTTGACCGTGGTTACAATAGCCTAGAAGTTTTCACAATTCTTTTGCTTCTCAAAGCAAGGTGCATGACATACCTATTTATGGTCTATATTGGAATTTTTTAAATTTATTTGTATGTCAATTATTTCATTCAATTGCTTCAGCAAATATTCTCAGCCATCTGCTTGTCTAATTAAATTCGCGATCATATTGAAGCAAGGTTTAGAATGAAAAATCATTGCAAATAAGAATTGGGTTCTTGATACGGAGCTGGGGTCTTCATGTCTAATTGCATTTATAAAATTAAAATGACATGTCAATAGACAGTTAATGAGTGTTCTTGCTGTTCTAGTTGGTTATAATCCTTTTATGAATACATATCTAAGCTTCAGCTGAATTATTGTCTGCTTACTGTCTTCATAATCTTAAATTCACTAGGCAATGGTGCAGAAAATATCCAGCCTTACTTTGATGAACTATTATTACTGCAATTGCAATGAATTTTATGGATAACATGTCTGTTTAGTACTATTTTTGCAAGCTTCGTAGATTGAACGTTCAATTTGTCAGGGGAAAAAATCAGATATATGCTCCAATATAATATGAGATTATCTGTAGTTGATATATTCTCATTTGATTAATAATATATATTTCATTTGTGTTTTGCTACAGATACCCAGCTAACATTACTCTCCTACGTGGAAATCATGAAAGCAGGCAATTGACTCAGGTAATCAATATTGTAGCTTCATTCGTTGTGCTTTCAAGGTCAATATAATTATATGGAATCGGTAAATAAGCTCAAAAGTGGAACTGCAAGTGCACATGATGGTAAATGTTTCAATTATTATTTGGATCATTTGGACAAAATAAGAAACAACGAAATTTTTGAAGGAAAGGAACGAGTTGTAGCTGAGCAAGGGAAATTTTTTCTTTTGAGTTTCTAGGGATGAGGAATCCAAGGATTTCTTTTCTCATTAATCGTTAGAACTGTGTGTTTTAATCTTGATTTCTCTTTCCCCTTTCGTAGTCAGATGATATTATGTCCTCTTGTACTTAAACGATAAATGAATGTTTCTCATAAAATAAATTAATTGGCTTTTGCTATTTTTATTTAATGAACGCTCTTGATTAACTGCATCATCTCGACCAGGACTTCGAGGGGCGATTTGTGAGACAAGAACGTACTGTATATTCAGTTATGCCTTGATTATTACTGTCTCGCCTTAAGTTCTCTTTGGACAGAAATGATTGGGATGAATATTGTCGTTTGCTTATTTTATGCTCTTGGTAACGAACATATAATGTACTACAATAGCATTTTCGTTTCCTGCTAAGTGCTGATGAGCTTTTCCATGTAATCATCCTCGGTAGGTCTATGGATTTTATGACGAATGTCAAAGGAAGTATGGGAATGCAAATGCTTGGCGGTATTGCACAGATGTCTTTGACTATCTAACTCTATCAGCAATTATTGAAGGAACAGTATGCCATTTTTCTTTTTGATCTCTCTTTACCTATCATTTAAAGAGGCTAGCTGTAAAAACTCTCAACTGTTCGGACTAACAGGTACTTTGTGTGCACGGCGGGTTATCCCCAGATGTTAGAACTATCGATCAGGTTTGATTATTTTTCTTTTGTAATATAATGTACATTTACCATGAGAATTTTGAAGTTGATAGAAAGGTGAATTTAGGTTCAGTGGGATGAGTGCTAATTGCTCAGCTATGCTCAACCAGAACATGCTTTTACTAAAAGAAAGAAGTATTGAGCATGTTGCATAAATGTGATATTTGGTCATTTAAGCATATAATTTCTATGGAAGAGTGGGTTTGTTTCAGGAGCGGCATATTTTTAATTTCTTACTAATAGTGATGAACTTTTAATGTTTGGACGTGACAAATGTTTAATCTATTGTGCTTAGTTAAGCCCGCCTTTTGGTTTACACAGTCCAGTTCAAATCAGATTAAGCCCCTGTTTGGTCCCCATTTTTAAAACTCATTTTCAACTACATATTTAATGGGACCTACGACTTTTATCGACTTCTATCAACTTTACAACCATGAAAATTTACTAAAATTCTAATTTTTATTTAAACCAAGCAGGGTAAGTTATATTCATTAAGTCCAGTTCATGCTAGAGTATATTATGTCCTTGTTTGGTATTGATTTGAATTAGATTTTTAGTAGATTTTGATAAAAATGGATGAAATGTGTGGGTGAAAAGTTGTGGGTCCCATGAAATATGTGGTTAAAAATAATTATTGATTTTGACTTGAGATTTTTATCAGATTTTATCTATACCAAACAGGGGCTATATTAATTTCTCTGTCTTTGTTTCCTTCCAGATTCGAGTTATTGATCGGAACTGTGAAATCCCCCATGAAGGGCCTTTCTGTGACCTAATGTGGAGTGATCCTGAAGATATTGAGACATGGGCTATGAGTCCTAGAGGAGCAGGCTGGCTTTTTGGGTCCAGGGTAACTTCTGAGGTAAGTCCATGACACATGTGAGAACCTTGGTAGCCAATGGTGCTGCAGACGTTCATTCTCATGGGTGAACTGCCCACTCTAGCTAAAGGAACATCCAAGAGAATCCAGATAATGATTTATGACATCTCAAAAATTCGAGATAGTTGTGTTGGTTCAAACATATTAAGTAATGCTCAAACTTGTAGTTGTTTTTTGCAGTTCAATCACATTAACAAACTTGATCTAGTTTGCCGAGCCCACCAACTTGTACAAGAAGGTCTAAAGTACATGTTTCAAGATAAAGGACTTGTAACTGTGAGTTGCCATTTCTATATCTGAGCGATGACTGTATTTCATGGTGCAATTTTTTCGTGTATTCTTTGGTAATCTCATTGTTCATTTGAATATGCAGGTGTGGTCTGCTCCAAACTATTGTTACCGTTGCGGAAATGTTGCCTCGATATTAAACTTCAATGAGAATATGGTAGTACTGCTCAATTTTCCATGTGTCAATTTAGTTTCTCCATGTACGTGTGCACTCTCTAGCAAGCCATGTAAAGAAACCATAAACTGCACAGAGGTTATAATTGTTGTGTGACATCAAGGGTCTTTTTATCTTTAATAAGAAATGGTGTTCTTGCTTCTTACTGTTTTCTGTTCACATGTTTGATAGAGGAACCTATTTTTATCATAAATGATAACTTGGTTGTAAGCAAGAATCAAGCTGCAGTGTATTGGGTAAAAGGTTGCATTTCATCCCCCTCATTGAATATCCTGTTAACTTAAAACACATATCTTGCCTGTGTCTTAACTCAAAATTCACATTCACAAATTTGAATGCCTTGCCATCTCGATTTAAGATTGTCGTTAAATGACTTGGATTTTGTCAAAAGCAGCATGCATCCAGACCCAGTAATAATGAAATACATGAGCTCAGCTAGCATATTACAGAATTTAAATGTCCCTTTTTCACTGCATAGGCTTCACTTGATTTGGCGGTTTGGCACAGATTTGGATATTTATGTAGCATAGATGTTGAGTTACCCATACCATATCTAGAATGCTATATTAATAGTGTGTCATGCTGCCCTGAATGGTAGCAATGATTACGAAAAAAACAAGTGAATGAAGATAATAGTGTTGGCCTTGTTTTCTAACTTGATCATTTTTGATTGATGCCTTTTGTATAGGAGAGAGAGGTGAAGTTCTTCACAGAGACCGAGGAGAACAACCAGATGCGAGGACCCAGGACCGGAGTTCCTTATTTTCTATGAGTGAAACTTGCTTCCACTCACATTTCAGATATTACTTTGGCACCCAGTACTATGAACTACAAAGGAAGAATGAGTGGAGAAATGTTCCCTAGATTCTAACATGTCAGCAATGGTTGCCTGCTGCCTTTACATAGTTCTTGCTGTACATCAAATATGGCTTTATGTTGTGTTTTCAGTTTTATTTTCCGTAGTTTAGTTCGATGATACACTAATCGTATTGATTGATTATAAACATTTCTATTCATTTTTTGTTTTGTTTTCCAATGCTGAAGTATAAATTATGTAAACCTTGGTGAATATTAGTAGAGATGGTTCTGATGTTCAGTTGCTTACAGTGGTTAACAGCCATGCTTGCTTGTGATAATAGTTTCGGGTGCGGGGGATTAGCCATATCGGTGCGGTGCCAAAACATGGTGAAGTGTTTAACGCGTCTACTTTGATTTTGAGAATGAATCTCATTAAAGATGCGTGTTTTGAGTGTGTTGCCGTACTTTGTGTACATATTTTGGGTCTTACTCTTCCTTTTCTCCGTGTTCCCGTTGAAACTATGATTAAAGTATCGCTTACTCTAAGAGCTCGACATATGAGTGCTCTTTTTTTGCATAACATTAAACATGTGGTGCAATGGTGTTCCAACCTCCATTTCCGAAGCTAGATGAGATCGCCAAGTCATTTCGAGACTCGGGAATGGAGTTCGGCTACCCTTTAACCATACCTGGCTTGTAACATATACTACTGGGAGAAAAGGGATAAAAGGCTGTAGCAAGTGGCAAGTTCGTCCAGGCTGGAGCTTCCTTTTTCTTTGCGGACAATTTTCCACTAGGTAATTAGTACAAAACATTCTTACCTTTCAATATTTTTGTGCAAAAAGTTCATACCTCTTATTTTTTTGACATTTTCATCTTTATTTTCACATTTCATTGCGAAAAATGTATTTCCATCCACGTACCATGAGTTGCTCTCTTAACTCAACACAAAAGGCAATTCTTTTTTTTCATAATCCAAGGGCAAATATAGTCCTTTCAACTGAAACATTTTCTCATACTGTTGAAATTGATCTTGCGACCTATTCTGATTAGCCCAAGAGAAATATGGGTGCTTCCTCCAACGTGAGTTGTAAGTATTTGAATGAGGATTATTCTGTTGATGTTGTCCCCATTGTGTAAAATCCACTTTTTTCATTCCTTGTGCCAGAATTAGACAATCTGCTATATTATGATCTGCCCTACACTCTTCACAACTTGGCTTCTTAGCTTGGGCTGCATTGGCTGTATGTGATATGTTCTTCACCTTATGAAATAATGAATCTATTTTTGCAGATAAAGTTGAGTAAGCATCCACCTCGTATACACTCGGCGCCTTCTTTTGAACAACTCGCTCAGAAGCCCACATGGCTGAAGCGTTAGCCACTTTGTCGAATAACTTCAAAGCTTCGTCAATTGTCTTTGTAGATAAAGAACCGTTAGACGAAGAATCCACCATATTTTGAATGATGAAAGCAATCCCGCAATGAAATATTGGACTTGGAGTTCTTTGCTAATACATTGGTAAGAACACTTCTGAAACATGTTTTTGAACCTATTCCAAGTTTCATCAAAAGATCTTGATTCATTTTGACAAAAGATAGATATGTCTTGCTTCAACTTTGCTATCTTGGCAGGTGGGAAGAATTTTGTACAGAACTTTTGGGCTAAATCATACATGCTGATACTGGTGGTGGGTTGAGAATCTAACCATTCAAGTGCTTTATCACGTATAGTGTGTGGAAACAACCTCAGTCTAATAGCGTCTAAAATCCCCTGATATCGAAAATGTTAACACATCTTCAAGTGGATTTTGAGTCCAAGTATTGTTTCACATAGATTGATTAGTTCAATTTCAATTATCGTAAACTTAACCGAAACAAGAATAATATGATGTGATTGTTATGACAAAATTATAACTAAAATAAGCTACTTATACAATTATGAGTAAATTAACTAAACTAAATGTAAATTATTCTAAAGGCAGATTAATGTGTTTAATAAATAACAAATGCACTAGGATCTCAAATTCCCATGTAATAATCAGTTTTAACTCTAGTTATACATATTGACAACACGATTGAATTTTGACGAATCAATGTTCCTATTTTATTTAACAATTTTGATGAATCAATGTTCCTATTTTATTTAATAATCTTTCTCGAGTAATGTTAAACGTACTTTTATATATGATCCAACTATATTTCTATAATGGATGCGAACATATAAAAGCGTATGATTTTTTATGAACACTTAAAGATTCATATAAAGCATAACAGTATATTTTTACCCCGTCTAGGACCCTATGACAAATTATATATGTCAAACATATTTTCCTTCTTTCAAATGCATAAAATAGGCTACCAAATTCACGCAATTAACGTGCACTATAATTGTGGAGAAAATAAAATCATATAAATTGTTCAATATACAAAATACGTATTTCAATGTCAAATATATAAAACTAAAAATTAAAACTCATGCACATGGTTCATCATTCTCCTAGTACATAGAAAACTAGCCTAACATGTTATGAAAAAGAAAACAAAAGGAAAGTAAAAGAATCGACATCACCCAATATAATTCTTGAATTAGTTTTCATGTTTTTGGATTCGATCTTTATATTCTTGGCTTCTTCTCTGCTCCAAAAGCCTCTTAGAATATCTTCTCATGCATTCCAGATGGCTCTAGGATTTTAAAACACGCCCCAAGATTCTTTCCATACGAGTTCTATTTAAATAAGGAAACCAGATTTTTTCCTTCGACCGCATGGAACAATAAAATTCTTCTTGAAATTCTCTGAAGTACTACATGTGACCGCATCTAAGAAGAACTATGCACCACATAGTTCAAGAAAACTTCCATTCTTTGCATTTTGGTCCTTGAACTCCGTTTTCTTGCTTCTTGATCTCTTTTCTCACCTTTTTTTCTTCCAACACTTCATTCCTTTGCTCTATTGGTTTTTGACTCCTTCACATCTCCTTTTCTTTTCTTCTCCTAGATCATCTTTCATCTATTTGCATTTTGGTCCATGAACTTTGATTTTCTTCTATTTTAGTCATTTTCACTCATTTTTCCTAAATTTCACCATCTTCATCAATGTTATCCTAGAAAACACAATTTATATAGAATTAATCCATATTTTGATATAGTGACCAACAATCGTCCATATTTTGTGGCATAAATAAGTACGTAAATCACACTTATCAAATGAGTTAAAATTGAAAATCAATTTCGAAGAAAGGAAGTGAATGGAGGTGTGTTCATTTTATATCTTAAATGGATTAGATAACCTTCTCCAAGTGAACATGCTTGAATAAGTGTGTTTACAAAGCACCAACTATGGAAGATTGAAAATTGGAAATCAATTAGACAGGTTCTCGAAAAAAGGGTTATTTGGAAATCAATAACAACGCATGATATCAAGGCATTGATTTGTCGATAAGTGATTCAATTTATAAAATTGAAAGTTCATTGGACAAACAGGATACAAATTGTTGACCTCTAAAAATGGCTCCAACACGTGGGAAATAGAATAAGTCTTCACGTGTGCTCATTCCTACGCATGGTAGCACAATGTTAGTCACTCGTGGCCTTTTTTCGATAGGGTGAAAGCATATGCGAGCACTCCGACAGTCAAATCAGTATTTCAGTCAACCGGAAAGTGGTGCCCGACGGTGAATTAATCACCGGGACGTGGTTGAGAATGTGTGTAAATATAGTGAAAGGCTATTTACAGTTAATAGACTAAAATGCTAAGATTAGAATTCGATTCCCTCCCTTACCAGTGTGGGGGTATTTATATTAGAGAAAGAAAGAGAAGAACCGTTGAATGGGGGGACACGTGGCTTCAGATCCCGGATGGATCATCCTTTCATAGGCGTCAATCTAGGTTGGCGGGCATTAAATGATTTCTGACATAGCAACTGAGTTAACCGTTTGTAACCTGCCACACGTCCCATCAATTAGTCAGGGACTTGACTTTGGAAAGATCTCCTCATAAAAGATTTTGGTAGAGGTGTGATGAGGCGGATTGTGAAGTGTGGGCCTTTGCATCTGTCGTAAATGGTAGATTAGTTCTGCTCTCCTACCAAGTGGGCAATAGTATTTCAATTCAGAGTCATAGAATCAGTTCGTCTGACATGAATTCAATTCGTCTGTCACGTAGCAACACCAGATCAGTTCATCCAACACGTGGCAGATGAAGTAGAGGGCCAACGAAGGCTCGTAACAACATTCTCTCAAGTCCATGTATGGATACTTATATAATGCATGGACTTTGTAGAGGCGGCTATATCATGTCATTCTATGGGGCGTATGCGTTAGTTGTAGAAGAGAGAAAAAGGTATGCAGGAGCGAATTCCTGACGGAAGGACGAAGTGTTGAGTGTGACTTTGGGAAAAGTTGTTGCAAAGCCAAGTCCTAGCTGAAAGACGAGGTAATGGGTGTTGACAAATGTGAGAAAAGTTGTTGTAAAGTGAAGTTCTAACTGAAGGCCGAGGTGATGGGTGTTAGCAACTTTGAGAAAATTTGTTGCAAAGCGAGGTCCTAGCTGAAGGACGAAGTAATGGGTGTTGGCAACTTTAAGAAAAGTTGTTACGAAGCCAGGTCCTAGCTGAAGGACAAAGTGATGCGTGTTAGCAACTTTGAGAAAAGTTGTTGCAAAGCCAAGTACTAGTTGAAGGATGAGGTGATGGGTGTTGACAACTTTGAGAAAATTTGTTGCAAAGCCAAGTCCTAGTTGAAGGACGAGGTGATGGTGTTGACAACTTTAAGAAAAGTTGTTGCAAAGCGAAGTTCTAGTTAAAGGACGAGATGATGAGTATTGACAACATTGAGAAAAGTTGTTTCAAAGTCAGTCCTAGTTGAAGGACGAAGTGATGAGTGGTTTCAACTTTAAGGAAAGTTGTGGTAGAGAAGAAGTCCTGGCTGAAGGACGAAGCCCTAAGTGATTGCAACTTTAAGGAAAGTTGTGAT